CGAAAGAATCTCCGTTAAATGCCAAGTTGGATGTGAAAATAAAACAGCAGCGCGAAACAACATGTAACGTAACAACACACATCTACGATCGATGACACGTACGTACACGTGTATAGCCAGATAGTGCTAGCGTACGTGCCGGCCAAATTCGGATTTTCGAACTATCGGCACATCAAGGATTTGTAAATTATTTTATTTGTATTGAAATTATCAAAGCAGGTCAGAAAAAAAATACATAGAACATTTTCTGTTTATATCAAAAGTAAAAATTATAATTCTCTTTCTAAAGGGATTTTTATCGTTTCCACGGGATTCAAAATAGTATATGACATCGCGCCTATGGCCTGCATGTGCATGCAATTGCCACGTGCACATTGGCAATACACACACAATGCATATGCACCCAAATGCATGCAGAGATTGAGACAGCAGTGCACACAACCACTGTACACACACAATACTCATACAGGCACGTATTGCAAGTGATGAACTCGTTTTCACAATCAATCGGCAAACGTTACGAATAAAAGAAAACACGGGAAGAAAATGGTTGAAATATCTAAATTTATTCACACTTCTAGTGAAAAATGGAACGAATTTTCAAAAATTTTGACATTCCATGACTTTTTAGTCAATTTATCAATTTTTCCTGACTTTCAAGGCCTGGAAAATATGAAAGTAAAATTCCATGACTTTCCAGGTTTTCCATGACCCGTACGAACCATGCATACCTTTCAGCCATCAAGTATGGCGCAGGCTCAAAAGCAACTGGGGAAAGACCCAAATCGTCACATACTTGATGGACCAACTAAAGACAAAAAGAGCCAAAGGCAGGTTATACCTCCTGAGAATCCAACAGAATAAAAGAAGGCACAGGAAAAGCAAATCTAAATTATCTCCAAAATGACCAGGACTGCCCTGAATTGTAGCCTCAGAGCCCCCTGGAGGAACACCATCGAACCAAATATAAGTCCCCATCTCACTACAATAAGCTCACTGACAGTCTCAATGGAGAGTGAATCCCCCCCCCCCAATAGTCGAGATAGGAGAGACCTGATATGCTTCCATGCCGGAAATAATAATCAGGGAATTCATGCCTTATATTGGCTTGTCAAACAATTTTTTTTTATGACAATCAACAAGGTAACACAAAGAACACTCAAAGTATCTCCTTATGATTGTAACACAGAGAAACCCATTAGTGAATGCTTTGTTGATAAAAAGTTATAACATTATCTGAATGAGGTGCTCATATACAGTACCAGAATGAGATGGCGCATTGGTGTAGGTGGAGAGTATTATCAGACAAATATCACCAAGGGCAATTAAGTGTGATATAAAAGACTGGAGCAAGTGAGAAAAAATCTGATCAATGCTTAGATGGGCAAAGGAAGAAACCCTGGCAGTCAAGTAATAGCTGTAGTGTAAGAGGATGTAAGTATGTTTTGGAATAATAATTTTCAAAATAATGAAATATGAAAATACTTTAATGTTTTCATATCAGATCATTTGTTCTATTACATAGATATTATATTCATATACACATAATAAAAATCTACAACATTTATTTACATTATTACAAAATGAAAGTCAACTAATGACAAGCTTGTGTCAGTTAATATTTTCTAAATACAAGTGAAAGAGAAAAGAAGCACTTAACATACTGAATACATATGTAACTAATATCATCTGCTGTATAATCTGATTTACATATGAAAATCTCAAAACTGATCCCTCCTTACCAGGTTAACAGCCCAAGGACCAAGATCAAGAAATCTACCAAGCAAATCCAATGCACGTACTCTATGTACTTGACTTAAAAGAACCTACGTGGAAAAATATACATACTGATAAATACCACAATATACATATGCAAAAAAAATTTAATCAATAATCAAACTTTATTTATACCTTGTAATGGCTCTTGTCAAATAGTTTTGAGGGTTAGGGGAAATTATCTACTTTTTGCATGTTATTAGTCTATGTTCTTTGGTGCATTAAATAAAAATTATCTAGTGATGTACTACCATTAGTATAAAAAAGTAGGGTAAAGTTTTCAGCAAGAATCGACAGCAAGAAAAAAGAAGCATGGGCAAGTACTTTATTTCTTGTTTTTCATGTTTATTCTTTATTTATTATTATAAAAGTAAATAAAATGTAAAAATAGGGATCTTTTTTCTTAGATTAGTTAAGATTAGATTAGGTAAAATAAATAATAATAAAAATATGATAAAAATATTTCACAAGACATGCAGCTCGTAGTAGCTCGTGGGTAATGTAAGTCAACAGTGTAATGTGAGCTGTACATTCCCTACATGATTTACAAATTATAGTGGCATGGATAGTAGTTAGACACAGTTCAAAGGGCAATAAAACAATAAAATATAATTATTAATAGATGTATACTGTTAAGAGTTTAAAACTACTCAGGATAAACGAATATAGTTTCATGTTATAAACTGAAGTCATTCCAGAAAGAAAAAGAGGGTAATTTAGATTTTTTGGGGGGGGGGGGGTTACAAGGTCAGTCTAATTGACCAACCTTGTATAGAGTTAGAGTATAGAAAATAACAAAAATTTTAAATGTATTTAGGAGGTTTTAGAGATTACACAAATGAAATGAGATTTTTGAGATGAAGAAAAGTATTTTTAATCTTAACATGAAAAATGCTTCTCATGTTAAAAACTATTCAAAACAAATACTCAATATATTCATGGACAAATCTTTATTTTAGTTTATTAAAAATACTTCACTAAAAAATATGTATTTTTGTTTGTGAATGACTTATAATGTTAACT